AGACAAAGCTTTTTGGAGACGCGCATCGGGCTACAATGAAGCTCGATGGCGAGGTACCCGCGGAGCTGCGTGTTTCGGGGCACGGCTGGTAGCAGGCCGTTGCAAAAGGCATGGACGAGGGCGGCGAGGTACTCGTCTTCCTCGGACGTCCACGCACCCGAGCGCCACGTCGCTTCCGAGGACGCGTTCGAGTGTAGAATGTGACGCAGGTCCATTGCACGTCAAGTCGGGCCGAGACAGCTAAAGATTATTTGACAGGCGACGGGGCACCGGCCAGATTTTCGAAACGCGTCTTCAACGTCCAGAATGGGAGCTCCGGTCACTAGCTCGACGACATGTTATGTCGTGGTGTGGGTGGCATCTGTGTGCACACGGATTGCCCGTTTACACGATTCCAGCGCCAAGAGTGTGTTCATAGCAAGCCACTGTGACGGACGGCCACGGGGCGGCCGAGAGACTTGGCCGCGTTGCGGTCACGGGACCTCTACTTTATGCAGGAAATTGATGATGGGATATGCTTTGCTTAGTAGACGAGGGGATGTACTCATACAGAAGTACGGCGGTAGGCGCATACGAACATCGCTTCGAACAACTAATGTCTTATCGCCACGCTTGCCCGTGGCGATCTCTCTCGGTGAATTTCTCCCGGGGCCAGTAATCTCTCGCTCTGGTGACGCGTTTAACGGAGATGTGCGGTATTAGTGCAGGACTGGATTCTTTCGTTAGTTTTGATTGCTCGTAACGTTGAAGACGACGGCATCGGGAGCCCTCAAGCGACGAAATCAACGTGCAATTGCCAGCTACAAGCGCCGCATCGACGAGCGAGAGGCTAGAATTGCGTCTGGTTTTATACAACAATATTGCGTGTATCCAAGGGCATTCGTGAGGCCGTATGCGGCGAGATGACTCATCCAGTTATGTTCATACAGTCGAACTTGCCTAAGTGCATATCCCGAAACTCGATATTCCTCTTGTGCGTGATATATCAGCCATTTATTTTTTTGCACTTCAAGAATATTAAAATAAAAGACGATGCAATGTCATTTTCCGACGCCACGGAAGACGATGTCCAAGTCGCCCTCTTTGACGAAGGACGAGGTTCTCTTCTGGTATATTATCGAGTCGCGCGGTCAAGCGGAGGGCAAGGAAATCAAGAAAGATTTTGACACCGAACGGCTACGAAAGAATTATGATCTTCGACTTCTTCTACGCGTACGACCGCAACCAAACGCGCACAGCTTCACTCTACCACGATAACGGGCTGCCGACCCTTAACCAATCCACCATCTCGCGCATGCTCCACACTGTATATGCAGCATGGTGGAGGGTACTATGCTGCATGCACTCCCATTATTCGACACGCAATTAAAAAAATATGCTCCAGTTTTATATTTTCATCCCCTCACAATTGATAAACCTCTCAGAATTATCAAAAATACCCTATGCAGTTAGACAAGTTCGACTGTAAAACACAGGTGACAACTTGTCACGCCGCCAACACATTTGAAAATTGTATCGGCCTCTGTCATGACAAAAAAATATTACACCAGCATACAAACAACAAGTACAGGAGAGATAGACCAATCAGAAGCCGTGACATAATGACAAGAGCAAACCATTGGCCAAGCTAATCGTACCTACCTGCCAGTCAAGCATTCGCCAACAAGCAATTGAGTCCGAAGACAGGTACATGCTGGTCGTGGCCACAGCGTTGCCGCGACTCCCGGGCCCCGATCCCGATGAATGTTAGCGAACGTGACGAGAACCACGCGCCAGCGCGCCTACGAGCGCCCATGAGCACCCACACGCCCACGCGCCCACGCACCCGCGCGCCCATGAGCACCCACACGCCCACGCGCCCATGAGCACCCACGCGCCCACGCACCCGCGCGCCCATGTGCACCCACACGCCCACACGCCCACACGCCCACACGCCCGCGCGCCCACACGCCCGCGCGCCCACACGCCCGCGCGCCCTCAAGCACCTGCGCGCCCACGCGCAAGCGAGCCCACGAGCGCCAAGTAGCTTCCTTTTCTCATGTGCCAACGAGCTCTCACAAGCTTCCGTGCGCCAATGTGCTAACGACGTCCCGCGCGAACGACTGCATGATGAAGAGACGTAATACGAAAGTATTTTATGTAACCTAGATGTGAAAGGTCCTCTTCTGTGCATGCTTCAGGATTAGCTTCGGGAGGCCATCGTAGTTGACGGGAGTGACCTCGTCGCATAGCGTCTTGTCGTCGAGCATACGCTGGGTCGCTGAGGCCATAACCTTGATCTTTGTCGTCGTGGCGGCAGGCCCTTTCACGCAGTTGCCGAAACGAGTACGTAGGCTCGATGCGCTGGAAGCCAAATCTTTTCCGTCCAAGAGCTTGAAGTTGGCGTACAACGCCACTTCCAGCTTCTCGGCCACGGCGAGGACATGGGACTTCCACGTGTTGTAAGCCGCCCTATCGACGTCACGGTCGACTGGGGCCGAGATACGAAAGGGAACTTGAGCTACGAGCTTGATGATGCCCAAAGAAGTCTTGAGGTTGCTCATCTTGGATTGGTTGGGTCCTCCTTGGATCTCGCGCTTCCAAGGCTCCTCGGTAAACCACTTGTAGATGAAGATTTTGGGCGTAATCTTGTTGTAGGTGTCGAGCCAATGCATCGATGTCGCCGCGAGTGGTGCGATCGCGGCTGGTGAGCTCTCCGCGAGTGCCTGTGCTAGTGGCTGCGCCAGTGACTGCGAGCCACCAGACGACAAATGTTGCTGCATGAGCTGCGTGAGGCTCTCGAAGCTAGCCTGCAGGGCATCAACCTTGGAGAGACCGGCCTGGATAGCATCCAGTTTCGCGTGCAGCTCGCGGAACTGCATTGGGATGTCGCACGTCTTGCATTCGTGTCGAGGGTGATCCGACTCGAACTTCTGTCGAATCGTATCAGACGCCGCCTCCAACTGCTCGAGCGAGCAGCGCGATTCATCGCACGCGTCTCGGACGACGCGTGCGAGGTCCGACGTTGGGCCCAGGTTGAGGAGGAACGGGAGGTGCATGAGCAAGGACGCGAAGAGAGCGTTGCACACGGCTTTGGACACGTTGGACCGCTCCTGTGTACCGTTGAATCCGAGTGCGTTCTTGAAGAGTCTGTGCTTGAAACGGAGCAACGCCGCGGTGTCTTCCACGGTGTGCGTGTCCTCGACTGGCTTCAACGACGGCGGAATTACCGTCGCATCTGGGTCCCAACCGGAGAGACACTTGGCAATTTTTGATCGTCACGCAGGGTGGTTCCTATTCGTAGTACGCCAAGACACGAGGTGCTAAAGTGAACATTGGTGGTTGGTGTACCAATGTATGCAAATGCTTTGCTCAGAGAGTCCATTGACCAATGGCCGCGCGTGCAAATCCATTGCATGTTGATCTTGTGTGAGGAACTGGCAAACGCCGCAGAGCCTCGACGCACAGAGTGCGACTGTAGGCCTGGTGTGAGACCGACGGAGTCCAGCTCTTCATTGACCACTATTGTGTTCCATGAGAAAACGATTGGCGAGTCGATGTAGCACCGCTCGCCTTGTACTCGCGCTCCAGGTCCTTCAGTTGGACGTTGAGTAGCTGGGCCATCGATGGTCTCTTCCTGTCGGCCTTGATCTTGGCCCCGGCCGCTTTTGCCTCTGCACTGGCATCGACGGGCGCGTACTCGTCGTCCTCTGGCGTCTCTCCAAGGTCGTCTACGATGCCCTCGATGGAAGCCTCAAGTTGGGAAATAGCCCCAATGTCCTCCATTTCCTAGGGCAAATAAGTAGAGCAACTTGAAGTCATTTTCGAAGAGGTGGCATACGTGAGTGGAAGAACCTTGGTCGCGAACGAGCTCGATAAAAAGCGAGCTCGGCTCGGATGTAACGAGCAGGACGGCTAGAGCCACAAATGGGCATAGCAACGGGTCGGTCTTGTGCGGAAAAAGAGAGACTCCTTGCAGTGACGACGTCTTGAGTCGGGCGAAGTTGACGAACAGATCGCCACCAGGCATGATGGAGAGCTAGGCAGACTAATAAGTGATAATACGATCAAAAATACAACAATTTACGACCTGTTGCCGCGTTAGCCAGCAAGAATCAATAGCACGACCAAGCATGTGCCACATGATGGTGAGCGTGCACGACACATGAATAGACTTTTTGTCGCCTAACTCCTCACAGTGATACCCGAACACCAAGATCGTCAGATTATACCTCTCTTGTGTAGCATGCTCCCGAGAATGTTTACGTCTTGGACTGTCATGGCAGGCGCTTGCTGCTGGAAGAGTTGCTTCTTGACTGCTCGGTCCGTAAACTTGCTTTTTAAGAAACTACGAATCTTCGTGCACCGCGCCGATTCCTTGAGGCTCGTTGCGCTGAAGTCCTTGATCATGCGGTTCTTGATCTACATACATGTACGCTGAGCAATGGTTTAGAGAGCTAACATTTAGACCTGCGAGAGATAGTTGTCTGCAGTGCCCATCGAGAGCACGCCCTCGCTGTTCTTCGATCGCTTGGACGTGTGGTTGTAGAGGAACACGACAAAGTTGTGGAGAATCGTGTAGATGTTGCGGCGTGGGAGCGCATTGCTCTCGACCTCTGCCGCTCTGGTCTTCTTCCAGTCCTCACGGACAGTGTCCCATGTGTAGTTGGCCTCAGCCATAAAAGCGTCGAAAATCGCCGTCGCGGAACGTCTTTGGCCTAGTCAATGCGAGTTTTTTACATCCCGGCGAGTGACGTCATCGTACCGCGTGTGCCTGAGGGCACGTCGTCGTCGTCAATCTCTTCTCCGAGTTCTTCGCCAGGACCAAGGGACTCGGCCACTGGCGGTAGGAACCCTGGAGACTCGACGTCCTATAGGACCTCTTGAGCAACACAGCACTCGGACGCAGTACGTACACGCACCTGGTTTGACACTTGTCTCGCCGCGTTGTTCGCCGCATTGCTCGTCGTCGCCTTGGCAGTCGCGTTGCTCGCCGCCGCGCCGGCCGTCTTGATCCGCTTCACCAGCGTCCTTGGTGGTTCGGCCTCGTCCTCGTACGCGTCCTCCACGGGCTGCTTTCTCTTCCCCTTCGCCATTCCTATTTCGGTCTGAGATCCTTCGAAAGATCTCCGTGGCTCCTCGCAAGATCGCCCCAGAAGATCGATCTGTCAGGTGACAGAACGGCCATAGGGCGCCACTAAACGCCGTCTCTGTCACGAGCGTTTTTAATGCGAGTAATTGCCCGTTATATACAAACATCGAATGAGTATTATTCACACACACCGCGATATGACAAGAAACTTTCGAGATCGGAGCCGACGAAACGCCTAAAGTCCGTTTTCGAACTTTAAAAAGAGGCATACCCAATTTTAGATAAGAGGCGTACTTAAATGAACATTCCTTGTTGCTGGCCAATCAGATGCACGTATTTTTTAGCCAATCATATACGTCTGTCACAGAGGCAATTAGACTGCTGTAAAACGACGCGCCGTGATCTGATTTTGAAATCACGTGATCTATCGTTACTCGAGTTCCATGGTTGTGTGACCGTGTGTGGAAGCGCTCGATCAGGAGGAACGAGGTTACTTTGTTTCAATTGACTGCTTCAGCAAGGCGAGACGCTATTCCCGAGCAATCGTTTGGTGCATGTTGAATGAATCCATGCGGCGTGGATAGCAAGTTCCTTGGTTCGGTCACACATCCATGGAACTCTCGTAACGATGGATCACGGGATTCCAATATCAGATCACGGCGCATAGCATAACGTTTCCAGTATCTCGCCGCAACGTTAGCAGACAAGATGCAGTCCAGTCAGGCGTATGTGGTCGATCCTTCGTTAACGTGGGCATTTCCTCCAAGCAAGAGTAAGGCAAATGATTCTATATTTAATTTTTATCAACCCTGCGACGATAGACCCAAGGTTTTGCTACGGCCTCACGAATGCCCTTGGATACACGCAATATTGTTGTATAAAACCAGACGCAATTCTAGCCTCTCTCTCGTCGATGCGGCGCTTGTAGCTGGCAATTGCACGTTGATTTCGTCGCTTGAGGGCTCCCGATGCCGTCGTCTTCAACGTTACGAGCAATCAAAACTAACGAAAGAATCCAGTCCTACACTAATACCGCACATCTCTGTTGAACGCGTCACCAGAGCCAGAGATTACTGGCCACGGGAGATACCGTAGTACTTAGTTGCGGAAACGGGGAAGCGACAAATCTGGGCTGATTTTCGAGGAGATTCGCCAGAGCTGGGTACGTCAAATAAAAAAACCATCCGATTGAGTTCCCAATGGAGTTGGAGAGGTTATGGGAGAATGCCATCTTGCATCATTTTGCACCACTCCCAAGTGGCGCAGACGGATGCATAGTCAGATCAAGTACCGGTAAACGTATTTCGATGCACATGCCCAATTTTGGTGCGGATTTGACGGCAACGGTTGGTCGCAGTGCGGGCGGCGATGTTCCTGAGAGCATGCCAGTACAGTGTACTACTGTGCGAGTGCACTGACGCGAGGCGAATCACATAATCGATTGCTAAGGCAAGCGAGAGCTCGCGAGAGCTCGACTCTGCCACCTTACGAGTGCCTTGGCGTGCCAAGTCTCTCGGCCGCCCCGTGGCCGTCCGTCACAGTGGCTTGCTATGAACACACTCTTGGCGCTGGAATCGTGTGAACGGGCAATCCGTGTGCACACAGATGCCACCCACACCACGACATAACATGTCGTCGAGCTAGTGACCGGAGCTCCCATTCTGGACGTTGAAGACGCGTTTCGAAAATCTGGCCGGTGCCCCGTCGCCTGTCAAATAATCTTTAGCTGTCTCGGCCCGACTTGACGTGCGATGGACCTGCGTCACATTCTACACTCGAACGCGTCCTCGGAAGCGACGTGGCGCTCGGGTGCGTGGACGTCCGAGGAAGACGAGTACCTCGCCGCCCTCGTCCATGCCTTTTGCAACGGCCTGCTACCAGCCGTGCC